GCTTATCTCTGGACAAGATTGCCGATGAATACAAGTTTCCGTGTCAGACTGAACCTTGCTCAGCTATCATGGGCAGTGGGGAAAAAATTGATAAATCAATAAAAAAGGGTTTAAATTGGCTTCTACATACAATAGCCGAAGATTTTGATGCCTTAAATGAGCGCATCCAGAGGGACATGGCAGAAGAAAAAGCATATGAAGAACAACAGAAACCAGAACGAGCTGAGATACCAAAACGAGCTGAGATAGTGAGAAGGCTACGAGAAGAAGCAAGGGCGAGCGAAGACGCAACGGCGAGCGAAGACGCAAGGGCGAGCGAAGAAGACCGACACGTACCTGGTGAGGAAGATGCTGAGCCTGTGAACAACGAAAACCCTTTCCAGCCTCCAGCTGCTGTAATCTCCAAGAATGAAAAAGAGATTGAAAAGGATAAGCAGCAGCAGAATGTGGAGACCGAAAAGGCTACAACTGTCTTGGATTTGCAAACGGAGGAGGAACATATGGATGCCCAGCACTTACCTAGTGGCAGCAACCAAACTGCAAACGAGAGCAGACCAGAAACATGCGAGTCTGCAACTACGCAGCTTCTGCAGCCTGAAGAAGGGAACGAGCAGACAACCTTAGCATGCCTTCCCTCAGGCAACAGGAAGAAAAGAAATAGACTACAATTAAGAAGGAGCCACGGAGTAGTCCCTATTACTGCAGAGGCCACTGTTCCCAGGCACCTTACACCACCAGCAGCGCTCCTGCCCAAGAACTGGCTTTGGTACATTCCATCAGAACCAAGTACAGCCGTGGCTCCTTTGAACCCTCTCCATTTTCCTACAGTTGCCTGGGGAAGTCCCAGACTTAACAGACTTCAAGAAATTAAGTCTCTTGGTGAACCACATCATCCAAGCAGCATGGGGGAGAAGGCAAGAAGAAGAAAAAAACATATTAAGAGACCTCTACAGAAAACCTCTGCCCCCACTGACCATACACCAACGACCCAACAGTGACACCCATGATGCTGCTGCCAAACTGAATCGCAAACAGCATT